TTGGCAAGGTATTGCCTTGGCTTGGCAAAATACATCCCTTCACCCTCAGATTTTCTAGAGACAGAGAAAGAAAATTGGTTGCATTCCTGCCAGATGTTGTTAAGCTCAATTTTCTCCCCTGAAGGAATACAGCTGTTGCTGCAAGTGAGTAGCTGCCATTAAAAGATGAAGTTAGTAGTTACACCCTGCTTTTAGTTTCCAGCTCTAGAGGAACTGAGATGCATCTCTTCAGTACTTTGTAGGACTGTCTGAACTTCTTGATGCTCCTGAGGAGGCCAATATACACAGTCTGAGAAACGTTTTCCTAGACTGGGGCCTTGGTTGTGTTATGCTTCTCTTACAACACCATTTAAAAGGACTAGAGCAGTGTAAAGATAATCTTTAAAGAAAAAACAGCCCCTCCCCAACCTGTACCTTGCTGTACCTTCTTCTCAGCTTACTGTTTCATACTCTCAGCAAGCAGAAAGTGCAATTTTGCTTTCTCTGCTTGCAAAAGAGAGTAAGAGGCACAGCATCAAATTTTGCCAAAGGTGTCACATGACCTGTCTTTTTGAAATAAAAATACCTTGAAAATTCAGATGTTCTGCAAATAGGTTTTCTGTCTCATATTTAGAGACTTTAATGTTAAATAGCCTGACAAGCTACACAGTAATTGCCAGGTCTTCTGGCAAGAATGATCATACTTGCTCCTTTATATTTCTCATTGCTAGTCCTTGATCAAAATTGTAGCTGAAAACTGTTGAGATTTTATAAATCAGTTGCATGCTACTTATTGTGCTTTGCAGACTACTGTGAGGAAAAAATGGGCTTAAAGAGTTAATAGTTGCTGGTTTATATGCATTAGGCATTGTCATAGTAAATTAAATACTTCTAAGCCTAAATTTGTACATGTATTGTCAAAACTAATTTCATTTATTATTCTATTTATTTCTTTTTTTTTGTTTGTTTTATAGTATGGCAGTTATATTTTATTGCATATCCTGAATGGCTCTTTTGAAAATACTGTTTAGACAGTGTAGGATGATCTGTAATCAGTTCTATAATTGCTGTAGATCATGGTATTTTCTTTGGTAAAGTCTTGATGATTTTTATTTCTAATTATTTCTATTATGTTACACTACACTCAGCTATAGCAAGCAACTATTAATGGAGTGTAATGGATGGAGAGCCTAAAATGTGTAGGACATTTATCTATTAGATGTGGTTAAGTGGGGCTAGGTATCTTACCAAAGGTCATAGGAAGAACTTATGGCCAAGGAAGTATAACACATTTTCCTTGGTGTCCAGTTATCGTACTTGAATTCTATAGTCACATTTCATGTGTATTTTCTACTGTTTTTCTACTGTACTCCAGATATTTCTTGTGGAAATTAAGTCATCAAGTACCACTTCTAGATGTTGGGCCTCTATGATAAAAAAACTGTCCGATAAATGTTTTGTTTTTGAAGTGTTGGTGTTTGTATTTTAATAACACACTTCTTTTTATGAACTGTTCTATTTTGCAGTAATACTGCTTTTTTTCTTTGTGTATGTTTTCATCAATTTTGCTGTAAACGTGATAATCTATTTGTTTAAAGCCTAGTCTAACACTCTTCGCTAATTCAGGTTTGGATTTCTATTTATAATTAAACTGCATTTGAGTGTATTAGTCCCCCACTCTTTGATTTAGCTCAGTGTGGTGTGTTTGGACATAATTTTTTGTTAAATAAGATATTAGACTACCATAAATACGAAAAATGTAGGGTAGTGTCATTGCTTGAAATCAGTCAGAGGATAAATAGGAGCATAAAACTTCCTAGAAATGCGTATATTCAGGCAGGCTTTTTTTCATGCTGTATTTGGAAAAAAAAAAAGTGGACATGTGCAGAAACTGTGAGTACAATTAGCGTCAAGCAGATAAATCCAACTCTAATCCTGTTTACGCTCTACATCAGACAGATGTGCTGAGATTGATTTAGACAAGCCCTTGGCTTATAGCAATTTTTTTTTAAGTGCCATATATTCTGGTTTTGTTAGATCTTTGTTAAATGTTAAGTGCTGTTAGTTTTACTCTTCCTAACGCCTGTAACCTACTTTATACAGGTTTCCTTTCTGCTGTCATGATGACAGAGCAGCCTGGTAGAAGAGATTATCTTTATTCCTTGTAATTAAATTGACTTTTTTTTTCAGAGGATACAACAATGGGAAGTGGGTACTGAATTAAATAAATAGCATGATATCTAATAGATGTATACTTAAATCTCTTGCAAGAACAGATGGTACCCAATATCTTTCTAAGTAATATGAGAGGACAGTTAATGTCCTGAAACAGCTAGCAATAACCAATATGATACTAACGAACCAATAGGTCTTTGGAAGTTTAAAAAAGTGTCTAATCCAATATATACTTTCTTTTTAAAGTAAACTTGCTTGTTATCACATACTAGAAATACTTTATAAATGTAGCTCGTAGTTAAATTTTCTTTATCTGAGCTGTTTTATAAAGTTTTACTGTATTAGTGATGATCTTATTTTCAGTAAAAATAAAAGGTGAAAATTATAGAATGTGCCTAGGGACTTTTATACAGATTTCTTTTCAACTTCAGTAAGAATTGGCTGTCCTAATCCTACTAGCTAGTTCGATATTTCCTCTGCAACTTAAAACTCAAGGATAATGCTTTTGTATGATTTGATATTCCTACATTTTATGTGCTTCTCCAAGCTGTATCTGGAGATGTATTCCAGTAGAACAACTAGAGTAAAATCCTACTTTTGAAAGTGTAGTGCTGCCTGGTAAGAATATATTATTTTAAATTTCAAAAGTTTTGATGTGCATCAGAGCAACATAAGAATTTGACAAATACATAGTAAAGGGAAGTTGTAAAAGCAAATAAAAATCTGGCTGAAATACTAGCATGAAAATAATAGGCAAGATCTGGTTTATGACTAAATGTCATTCTATGAAAGCTAATGGGGGAATAAAAAGTATTTTAACAGGCCTTCATTTTTCTTGATTTGTGCAGGAAAGATAGGCTAATGTTTGTCATTCATTTGTGGTGCATATGCATAACATTAGCATTTACCCACAAATGTTTTAGAAGAGCAATGCAAAGTTTAAAAAAAAAATATCAAGATCTCTGATTTGGTAATGTTAGTGTTAAGGTTGTCCAGTGTCCTCTCGCCCTTTGAGTCTATGCAGAATCAGAGTTCAAATGGGATCATACTGTTTTTTTCTCCTCAGTCCCCTGGTTTCATTCAATATACCTTGTAGAAAGTACTCTTATGGCATCGATTACAGTATTTTAAGCTTTGTTTTGTTGTCTGTTTGGTGAGTTTCCTCCTGTGTATTTGCTGTGTACTTGTGAAGATGTGCACCACAGAAAATTCCCGGTGCCCTGTGGCAGTGCACACAAACGGCACAGTATTGCTGCTAAGAGTGGAATGATTTTAGTCCAGTTTTACACCCTAGTAGCTGACCTACGGAGAAGTGAGGGTGGTAAAATGTAACAAGTTAGGAAAATGTGTAGGAAGTATTTTAAGTTCATGCTTCTATTTGCAGTAGGTTATTTGGAATGGCACGGGAAAAAATGGGTTGGATGAGAATTGTGAGGTGGGAGAGGTAATACTGATGTAAACTTTAGCTGGCATAGCATTGCTGAGGTGCAGTCTGCCAGGATTTCTGGACAGAAGCTTGGTGGCTGCATAGTCTGCTTCAAGAAATGATGTTGAGAAATGCCAGTGTCAGGCTGTTAGGAGAATTGACACGGGCATCTTTATTCTGCTTAGAAAAAGTATGACTCTCTGAAGCCCTCAGCTTCATGTGGTGTCATGAAACGGGTGATAGGTGGTTTTGCAGTCACACACCTGCAGGGCTGTCCATCTTCTCCAGGAAGACAGTTAAAATAGTCTTGTGCAGCTTCTCCCTGGCGCTTCAGTAAAGCGTGCAGCAAGTATGAATCAAACAGAATCTGTTACAGCTTTTGCTCTTGAGAAGCCCCTTGACTGAGCTGTTGCTAGATTTGGAAAAGGTTTCTCGTTTTTAGCATTTCTTGCCTTGGGCTGCAAAGGGACCTTTATTGGTCTAGCATATCTGATCTGCTGTAATTACAAAAAAAGCAGGGAAGCTTTTCTTTTCATGTCCAGAGTATCAGACACCTACAGCAACGGTGACATTTTTCCTTCAGTTGGTTTGTCTGACACTGTATTTGAGGAATTAGGTGTTTCACAGCTCAAGAGGGCAGTAGGAGGAGAAGCCTGTTACCACAGTGGTTCAGTTGGTACATCTCCAAAAGGTATTTGGAACTCGTGTCACTGAAGTGATAGTGTCCATGTGCACAACAGCCCTGAGATAAAACAACCTTCACCTAGTGTTGCAGCCTAACACCAATCTCCCCTGGGGTGAGGGTCCTGAACTGTCAAAAGAACTTCTGAAACTGTTTTTCTTTTACTTGTCTTCTGAAGTAAATTTGTAACTCGAAAATGAAAGATAAGATAGGTGACATGCTTTTGGTTTATTTTTCTATTTTTACTTAACTATTTTCTGATATGCCTCTAGTCTAAACCCAAAAGGCAGAAGTTGTATTGAATGAAAAAATACATTAAACATATAGTCAGCTTGGGTCATAGTACACTTCCTGATCTATGATTTAGGAGAGTACAGCTACTGAGATTGCTATGATTTAGGAGAATATAATGAAGAATTTACTTTCTGAATGCAAATAAAAAAAAAAGTGATTCACTGTTCTTAGTCTGCAATTTTATTAATTTTTTTTCAATATCAGAAAAGGGATTATGTTATTGTATAGCTGGATATCTAACCTAAATAACAGAAAGTTGGTAAAATATAAGACCAATGTTTGAGGCAAATGGTATGCAGTAAGTTTCAATGTAGGCATGAGCAGGTGCAACAAGTGAAGCTAGAGATCAGCTGAGAACAATATTTGTTTTTTTTAGATATTACCCCTAATTATATTGATAACACTTCTTTTTCTTTTCTTTTTTTTTTTTTTGTTCCGCTACAGGTGATTCCAGTATGGTGTTACAGGCTCAAGAGGAGATTATTGAAATGAAAGATGTATTTTCAGTAAAACTGAAACGTCGCCGTTTTGTAGGGCAGAAAAAAGGTGGTACTGCTTTGGGTATCACCATTTTTAAATGCTTAAATAAAGAAAAGAATAAGCTAACAGACTGTGCTATCCATTTAAATAACTTAAGTGAAGATTATTGTCAATCATGGTTCAGACATCTGAAGGAAATTTTGAATGGTAAGCACTTAATTGGGGTTGATATCATTATTATTTCAGACTTGTTTCTATTGGCAATACGTAAAGTTGAGTGATGCCTAGAAAAATATTTTGCCTGTGGAAATTAAGACACACAGATATGAATATCATAGCTGGAAAATGTTTACTACTCAAGTTTTACAAGGTGAAGCGTAAAATTTAGGAAAGTGACAATAATTAACTAATGCAGCTGTGAAAATTAAACAAATTGATGCTATTTTTTGGAAGTGTTTTGGAAACTTCTGAAAATAGGTAGCTTGCTATATTCTGACTGAAGAGTCTTCTGGGAAATCTGTTTCTTAAAGAAATAAAATACCTTGTTGATGTTTTCACTTGAATTGCAGCACATCTAATGGGACTACAGGGCGCTCTTCAGGGACTTCCCAGTGACTGTTAAGCAGCTCCCACTTGAGACCTGCAGATTCTTGAAGAGACTAATAAGAGAGGCTTTCCTCCTCTTCTTAAATTTACAGGTGGAAGTGCTCTTAAGGTTCTGTAGGACTCTTACAATATAATTTTATACAAAATGTATTGACACTAGCTATTGATAAGAGGCTACTCTTCATTTAAAAAATATCTTTCTGTGTTTGCCTGGACTAATGCCAGTTTCAGGATGCTTTGTAGCATTTTTTTCATGGAAGCTGTATCAAATTTAAGAAAAAAATAATCACCATTTAGGGGGAAAAAAACCCAACAAACAAAAGTCTTTCACTGTAATCTAATACCAACACTGTTGGAAAGACTCAGAATGTAGCACACTTGTGATTTACAAAAAACCCACTAAAACACACAACAAAAAAACCCCACAAACTAAACTCTCTGATTTAGCTCCAAAATGTGTCTTTGTTTACAGACTATAGCAAATGAGTTTGTTTATTACAGAAGAAAAACAATCCATCTTGTAATAGCTGAATTGTTAATACTGAGCCAGATTACAGAATTCAAATTTTATGCATCTATAGTGTTTGTAATAACACCTTCAATAGTGATTTATAGTTTACTTCTACTAAAGTGACTTTGTCAAAAGCAGATATTAGATAAAGTAAAATAATATGAATTATTAGTGGTGCATTCTTACATTGTTTGCTTATAATATACTTTGGGTTTTCCAAATAAAAATATGTATTAAAAGTGTTTTCCCTTGCACCTTTTTGAAAGACTTTATCATGAAATACCCAAATCTGCAGAAGTGCCAAGATTCTTGCAGATCTCCAGCTACCAATAAAGGCAAGGACATTTGCATAAGGAGCAAATGCCTGTTTTGTTCCCAGATTACTCTCCATCCATCAGGAGCAGTGATACCATATGTTCACAGAAAAAAAGCTGCAGTATCTCCTGCTCAGGTTGTCTTGACTTCGAGGTGCAGCTTCTGTTTTATAGCTTTGTAATTGGAAGCCACCTGAACCTGAAAGAAGCGTTCTGTGCGATGTTGTTGCTGTTTGTAGTTCTTCCTTCAGCTTCAGTCTTTCTCCAGAAGCTCAAACCTTGCACAGATTTTTTTCTTGAGCTCTAATCTGTATGTTTTTCTCCTTTCCTTTTAGTTCAGGAGCAATCAGGACTCAGAGAGGGAAGAAATAACCAAACACAAGCCCCAGAATATAATTTAATAATGAGTATATTGTTCTGTAATTACAGTAAAAGTTTTTACACTGTTATGCATTGAAGACTGAGTAGATATTCAAACTGACTTTCTATCCAGAAAATCAGCAAAAAGCAGCGACATTGTTGCATCTAATGTGGCAGAGACACATTACAGTAATTTAAACAGTGATGGTGTAGTGATGGTATAATTCAGAAACAAAAGTATTCTTATTTAAAACATACCAAACATTGGCAGGAAGTTCCCAGTGGTATTCAAGTCTGGAAAAGTATAAAATGCAGTTAAATTCTTTTGATTCCTCACTAACTGAAATCTCAACTGTATCTTTGCTTGAAACAGTGATGAATTTTCATAGTTTTTGTCGCAGCTTGTTTTCATAATAGTGCCTGTGTCATCTTTGTTAATGAACTCATATTGGCTCCTTTTTGGTTTCCTTATGAACTCAAGGATAAAGTTTAAATTTCATCCTTCTAAAATAGTTGAAATTTAAGTGTATTTATCTTTTTCTAATCTTTCTGATCACAAAGTAAATTTTCATTAACTGCTGCATTATTTACTTTAAGGTTTTTTATTAGCTGGAACAAATGAAAAGCAGGTGATTTAACAAAGTAGAGTGTATATATCTTTGGGTATGGCTGTCAGTAAACATGTACTTTCATTTGTCAGAATGGCTAAATGTTATGAAAAGGTGTGGCTCTTGAAAAAAAATGCAATGTCTATGTTTACCTTACTCTGACAGGTTTTTAGATTTTTATGCATATATAGTAATTTAAGGAACAACAATAGCAAGTTTATCAGTGATGACATGAGCTGGGGTTTTATCTGGACATTTTTTTCTAGTGAAGATATAAGTATTTTTTCTGAAACCCCATGTACACAGTTTCCCTTTTACTGTATGTTTTGTGTTGGACATGAATGTTTCTTGCATGTTTTTCCCTGTTGATGCTTACTCTTCTCATAGTGAGTATCCTCTGTTGCTTTGAATTGCTGCTCAGAGTAACTAGGCTATAATTTTTCATGAAGCCTGTCATCATAGAAGTGAGCCCACAGGTACAATATAGTTGCTTAGAATTTAGTTACTGTGGCTGCTATTAATGGCTTTTTCTGTGTGTATGACAGGGTAACAAAACAGCTATACTACCACCTTCCTGCTTTTAAAGAAGTTCTTATTTTCTGCGTAATGTCGTTGCTGTTCATATGCATGCCAGCTAGGTATGAAGAGCTTACTCAATGATATGGTGTTCAGGAAATTTGGTCTTCTGTTTATCACATATTTGTTAAAGTGATGTAAAATAACCACTGCCATCTTCAGGCATGTGCCTACAGAGCCTTGGTTCTGGACTGGCTCCTGGAAAGCCCCAAATGGCAACTTAGGCAAATTGTAATTTGCTGTTGATTTCGTGTCAGACCCATTGTACACCTGACTCTCTGCGCTTTCGGTTTAAACTTTCTCTTCTGTTTGTACTGAACTTATGGGCATGTACAGTGGACATACTCTCTCAGTGGAATTCACTATTTAATTTAAAATTCTCTGTGCATGCAAACACCCAGTGTTACTTTAAGGGTGGATAGCCCCAGAAATGAGAGAAAATGCCAAATTATCAACGCTTATCCAATTTTTTTAATTATTTTTTTTTTAGCAAGATAAAACTTATTTTTAATAACAATTGGTTTGAAAAAGTTTTACTTAAATGTAAACTATCAGAAGACAATAAATATAGTTAAGAATAAATGACAAAGTAGCAAAAACATGCATGAAGTGCATTTTATTTTTATCCACTACTCTGTAGTATCCCTCTCAGTGGGATTTGATACGAATGTCTGAAACTTCATGCATGAAGTTTTAATTAAACCATTAATGTTAAACATTAACTTTGGTTAGTTAATATTAACAGTGGTGTTGCCATAGTTACGTTAACAAATCTTTCTCATATTATTAGTTTTCCTCATGTATAATATTCTTACTGTTGTATGAAGTATTTATAAATGTATGCAATAATGACATGATTCCAGGCTCTTAACTTTTGTAACATAAACCCATTTTCATAAAGCTAAGAACTGAAAGCAGCACAGATGTATGTCTGAGCATAGCGTCTCTGCTGCCCTATGAGCCTTTGTTTTCAGAACACCCTGATTGACCCACCACCCTTCATGGTTCACTGATTCACTTGATAGATCAAGTTTAAACTAGTGCATATTAGCACATTTGTTAGTACTAGAGGAACAGTTGGCCTTCCTGCTTTAGGCTGCTGGTTCATTTCAAATGGAGCAGCCATGGAAAACAATAACAGAATACCAGTTAGGAGAACACCAAAAGGCTGACAGACTGGAATCGGTTGCAGCCTGTAGTAAATGAGATTTAATTTTCTTTAAACAACGTCACTATGAATGAATCAAAGATGATTATTATTTAATAATGCTTTTTACAAAGTTTCCCTGCATAGTTGTGTGAAAGTTTACTTTTTTGACTGTTAATGGATATTCTTTCATTAAACTCAGTTGTTTAGTGTATTATAACGTTAAGTTAATGATAAATAATAATTTTTGTCGTGATCATCCTTTCTTGTCAGGCAATCATTTGGTACAATCAGTAGTGTACCATGTCACTGCTCAAATGTCTTGTGATACCTATTTCTATAAATAAAGTAGCTTACCTCTCTAAAAAAGTACATTGATATTCAGGTAATCATAAAGAGAATATTCTAACACTTATCCTGTGAATTCATTTGGTTCTTGAAAATCTCGCTAGGATTTAATTCTGATCTACTTTTCAACATAATATATATATTGTCATAAATACAGTTCCTGGCCTAGAATAATTTTTGGTTAATAAAAAAAGAAACAAGTTCAACTGTTTTCTTAAAAATCTAGGATTTCCCTCCTCTCTGCCCCAATTGAAAAGTCTGTATTCTTTTGTCTGCTTATGCTTTCTTTTAAAACTTTATATTGCCACTTGGGGCTTAAATTTTCATATCTAAAACTCAAAAACAGTTAAGTGAGATACCCATGTTTGCTTTCTTCCCTTCAGATTTCTCCTAACAGTGGCTTAGCAGTATTGTAACTCACACTGTCTGGGTCACAGAATTCTGACACTTTATTACCTGTCTCTACTTCTACAAGCTCTCTGCTTTTTCTATTCTTTCCCTCTGCTTCATGTGTTTTATATATGTGTGTATATATATATATATATATGTATATATGGCTTAAAGGTATGCTTTACTTACAAACCAAAGACTCTGTAGTCAGTTTTTACACTTTTGTGGCTCTGAGTGTTGGTGGGGACTGAGCATTTAGGGCCAGCTGATCACAGGTAGGTCTCTTGTAGAGAAGATAAGAAATGTCACAGCACGTATATCAACATGGCTAAATCTTTTATCTTTTAAATCAGGAGTCCTTATTCTTGCAGTTTTCAATTTAAGTTCTATGGACACTTTAGGCAAAATTATCAGGTCACAGAAATTATTTTTTTGGTCTTAATATTTCTATGATTTCTAAGAGACTGCAACAATACAGATAGCAGATTTCCATTGTTTGGTATAATGATTATTATAATGTCTTTATGATGATGATTTATATGTTTTAATAGTCTTTGGGAACTTTTATGTAATATTCCTTATTTGTGTGGTAATTCCTATGATTAGAAACTATACTATAGTAGATAACTGCAGTGCTTGTTTCTGCTTCCAGAGACTCCAGAATAATTTAGGTTGGAATGTGCCCCTGGAAATGTTCTGTTCCGGCTTCCTACTCAGAGCACTGAGCTTCTAAACAAGATCAGGTTGCTAAAAGCCACGTCCAGATAAGTTTTGAAATTCTCTAAGGATGGGCATTCTGCCACCTCTCTGGACAATGTGATCCATGGCTTAACCGCCCTCATTGTGGAGGGTGTTTTTCTTTATTTCAGATTGCAATAGCCCTTGCTGCAACTTGTGTCCGTTGCCTTTTTGGCCTTGCCCCTGCAAGAGGTCTGGCATGGTGGTCTGTTTTACTCCCATGGAGTAAAAGCACAGCATTTTGGTAGATTCTCTTCTCAAGGCTGTAGAAAGCCAGCTACGTCTGCCTCTTGTATGTGTCCTCTGTTGGACTCACTCCACTTTATCAATCTTGTGCTGAGGGCCTGAAAGCGGATGCAGATTTTCAGGATCAGGCTCAAAAGATGTTGAATACGAGGGCATAGTCATATCCTTTGCACTGCTGTTTGTCCTCTTGTTAGTGCAACCCTGTAAGCACTTGGCCTTGATGGCACCAGTGGCACACTGTTAGCTCATGTTCCATCAGGAACTTCAGATAGTCTCTAAAGAGGTGCTGCACAGTTGGTTGATCCCCAGCCTGCACTGTTTGGGTTTTGTTGGGCCAGGTGCTGGACTTCATTTGCCTTTACTGAACATCTTGAGGCTTTTGTCAAACCTTTCTTGTAGCTAATCAAGGTCCTTGTGAATGGCAGCTCTGCCCTCCAGCGCATTGACTGTCCTCGCCAAGTTCCCTATTTGCTTTTCAGAGGAAATACTTTTAAATATAGGTACTAAGGCTTATTACTGAAGACATTCAGTATTCATCAGAAATTAAGAATTCATCAGGATTAATTTGCCATGCAATGACGTGGCACTGTGTGTAACATTTAACCAAAAATATAATTGGAAATCTTGTTTTTTATGTATGCTTTCAGGTTATAGCAGCCAACTGATCCAGTAATTTCCTTCAGTATCTAAGGAATCTAAGATTTACTAACACAAACTGGATAAAGGGCTAGTTTCCACTGCCGGATTCTCTGATATGTTTAAATAAGTGAAAAATAACAATCTGTGGGGTTTCTATGATTGTTATGTTTTGATCTGAAGGAATATGTTCCCCTTTGGTGCTGAAATAGTATTTAGCTGTAATTTCTCTGAAGAATCGTTCCTGTTCAGGTGATGAGGTAGAGTAAGTGAGAAAAGCTTCAGAAAGTCCCATCTGACACTGTGAAGGTATATGTGGCTGTAAAAACTGAAGTAGCACTGGAGATGGGGCAGAAAATCAGGCTCTCACTCTTAGTTCCTGTTGGAGTTGTGGCCTCCTGCTAATTTTCTTCTTGAATGTTGAAAGCAGTGTACTTGCCAGGTATTCTAGCTTTCACTTGGCTAAGAAAGTGATAGTGTGACCTGGTACTAAAAATATTTAGAATGTATAAATGAATGAATGCAATACAAAGTTGTTCAAATCATATATTTTAAAAAACTACCAAAGAAACAGCAGTATGGCATGCCACCAGTTCCTTTTTGTAGCCGACCAACCTCACTGAAACATGGCAATTGTAGGAATTCTAGCAAAGAGAACTTGAAAAGTTGTATTATTGGTTTAGTATGAATTATTTACTATTTAACAAAATGCCATATTCCAAATAATAGAATTACTTCATGGGATCAACATGCAAGACAAGGTACTGTTTGCCTAGCGGTATTTCTCAGTGTTGTTTTCTCAGAGTTCATTACTTTGAAGACCTAAATGTAAGTTTTTAAAAAATAAAATTAACAATAATTCTCAGGTTTCTGAATAATATTACCAGGTTTTCTATTTCTTTGTATTTCATAGAATGGTTTGGATTGGAAGGGACCTTAGAGATCATCTTGTTCCAACCCCCTGCCCTGGGCAGGGACACCTCCCACTAGAGCAGGTTGCTCAAAGCCCCATCCAGCCTGGCCTTGAACTCTTCCAGGGATGGGGCATCCACAACTTCTCTGGACAACCTGTTCCAGCCCCTTTCTTTCAAGATGAGGGAATTTACTTTGCACTGTTTGATTTGCACTCTCGGAAAACAAAATTATTGGGCTGTAGTATCAAATTAGTTGGGTGTTATTGTCATATGCCTGCTGGGAGTATTTCATATTAGATTCCAAAAATGGTATGTTTTGATGTTTGGATTTTTTTGTTGCCCAATCTTGTAATTTTTCCACATTCACTCTGCTCCTGTATCAGGGTTTAACTAGGGTATGACATATGCTTTTTTTAAAATCTGGTTCCTACAATGTTTTATTTAGTGTGTTTATTAGCTCTACGCAGAAAAGTAATCGGTACTGTAATTTTAAGATAAATAGTACACATCCAAGAAACTTAGACTTTTTTAGACTATAATTTACTTATCCTGTTAAAGTATTGTAATTGTTCTAGTATTAAAAATTCATTTAACCTGTAAAAATAGATGGGCTGTGTGTGATTTTAAATGTTTTGTGTTTTCCTTTAGGCTTTCAAAATAGACCAAAATCCTTAAAAGTGTTTGTTAATCCAAGCAGCCACAAAAGAGAAGCCACTCATGTTTACTATGAACAAGTTGCACCTCTTTTTAAGCTTGCTGACATCAAAACTGATGTCACAGGTAAGTTGATTCAAAAGCATAGTTTAATCCTTTGTGAAACCAGTACTTCAGCATACAAGACAAACTTGAATTTACTCCTGATCCTTATTGGCTTTGCCTGCAAGTAGTGCATTTAGAACGATAGTGGATAAAATATGTTTTTCTTTAGTCAAAAATTGTTTTAGTAATTCTGTTATTCATGTAGTATTTTTCCCCTGTACTAGTAAAATATTTCTTGTATTCTTTAAAGCAAGCATTCTATAAAAAGAAGCCAGCATTTAATGTCTGATAGGCCTGAATATGCTTGCTAGGAGCTGTTCCTCCGTTCTGACAAACACATGTCCTTACTTTCCTGAAAGCATCTATTGGCCAGACATCATAAGAGGGGCTTATCCGAAGGACACATTATTTCTGGATTCTGACTCAGTTTCAGGGCTGACCTGGAAGCCTAAGTGATTAAGTTCTGTGGTGACAAGGGCAGTTCTCATGAGGTACGTGGGCAGGACTTCGTGTCTGGAGAATGCGAAGGTACAACTTTAATGTTGTAATGATGCTGCCTTCTGCTCAGCAGTGGGTTCCTGATAGCAGGTTTGGATTTAAGGCCCCAGTTTCTGCCAGAGTGCTGCTTTATGTCCTGAATTTGCCCTTAGACTGTTTCATTTGATTGACTTTTTATAAGAAGTTGAACAGAAAAACAATGTGTTTTCATAACGCAGTAAAATATTAGTGATCTTATCATTACTTTTTCCCCCTTCTGTGAAGAGACCAAAACTCATGCTACATCAGATTTGGTCCCCAAACCCACCCAAGTTTACAGAGAAATCATGTTAGTATTTCCTATTCCAAGTAATGTTTTATCTATAGTATTACAATTCCCTTTAATGTACTGCTAATTCTTGATTATGCATTTCATATCCATGTGAAGTATAAGTATGCAATGTATTTTAGCACCAAAGTCTTTTTTCCTATATCTGTTGTAATTGGCCTGCAAAATAATCAATTCCAGCTTAAATTATGACACAAGAGGGCTAATCCTACAGTTGTCCCTTAAACTTCTTGTGAAATCATAAGTAGTTGAGGTGGTAGACAAATCTAATTTAGGCATGAGGATATAGTAATGCAATAAGTGTTTGTATATGAGATTTATCTTGCTAATTTTATTGCCTGTATTTATATATTTTTTAAATTACTTAGCCCCCAGTGTAAAGTAAATTCAATCTAAGATTAAAGATAGATGAGAATAAGTGTGAAAAAGTTTGCGTTAGAATTCTGTAGCGATAATTCCTTAACTTCCCTTAATTGATAAGGGAATATCAACAGCTTTATATGTTTCAATTCTCACAGACATATTCTCACCTGCAAGGCATAGATGATAGTGTAAACAGATTAATGATAGTGCTGTTTTCTTAGAAATTGAATTTAGCCTTGTTTGGTCACAATTTTTGAAAAGAAGGTTTTTTTGTCATGCAAACCTTCGTTAGAGATGACTGACTGTCATACTGTTCAATTAATTATTACTTTACTTTAAGCAACTATTTAAAGAAAATTACCTTTTAAAAATTTTATTCCTTACTACTGGTTATTGTTTCTTTTATGTTTACTGTGAACATAACCTTGTTTGTTGGACTCTGTTAAAGGCAGCGTTATCCTTAACATGCGTAAGATGACATTTTTAAGTTATGTAATGTCACCTGGAATACTAAAGCTGAACTAATAAGCAAATCTGTATCAATAGTTTTTTAGATTAATTAATAGAATTTAATATAAGATATGAATATAAATTGTAGTGGTTTTAAAAATATTTTTCCTAATTGAATAAAAACAGTTTAAAGTTTCTTTTTTATATTATTTTTTCTTTTAAATTTTGAAAAGAAACTTCTGGTTTTAACCAGATAAATGTTTAATGGCTTATCCTTAAAATAAGGTTATTTTGGCAATGTCCAAATACTCTTGTGCTTATTAGCTGCCTAACACTCCTCCTGCAGGCAAAATGAGAAAACTACATTACGGTTTTAAATGCTAGTACAGAAATAAATAATTAAGAACTATGTATTTAAAAAAAAAAGGGGGGTGGGTGGTTGTGGATGCTCAAAGTCTTTTCTACTGTTACCATCTTCTAATAAAACTACGTACCTCGTTTCAAGTGAATGGAACAGGTTTTTTTCTCTCCCGTAATTGTTTTGGATTTTGTGAAGTTGGAGTGTGCATCTTGCTTATTACAGCTCTTTTGAAACGTGGCAAATGTTTACACACATAATGGTGTACAAAGGTGTATTAGGTAGTAAAAGCTAAAGGCTTTTGTACAATTTTTACACTGAAGTTAGTTTACTTTTAGTCTTTTCACATACACATATTTAAAGCATAAAATTAATTGTACACAAAAATCTTACAGCAAATTTGAACCTCTGAAGTGACTTCTAGTGCATACATAATGCAACACTTGCAGGTGACTAAAAAAACCTCCAAACCACTGGGCTTTGCCTGTGGAGTGCTGAAAGACACACTTCTCCTCATCCTGTTTTGTATTTTGGTAGCTGGCTGCCGCTTCCTATATGATCAAGCTTGCTAGATCTTATTCTTGATGATAACTTCTGTTGGAATAAGCTTCTTTTTATACAGCAGTTAAAAGGCATGTGTGTAAATGAGTGGGTTCTGAAATAACATTTACTTTCTCTAGCTATCATTAAATTTGGTAAGGTTTTCTTTTTTTTTGCCAAACTACTTTGCACACTACAGGTGTCTTAATTTTAGTGAAATTAACCAAAGGTCTTAAGGAGTGAATTGTATTTTGTTGGTGTTTGGGGTTATTTTTGTTACATGGAATAAACAAATCTCTGAGGTGCTTAGTGTAGTAGAAAGTGGGAATTAGCAAATCTAAACTGAAACAGTACTTTAACTGTACCTAAGGCTAAGCAATACTTAAAAATTGGTCCTTATACTAGTTTGGCAATCTTGAGAGCTGCATCTGGGATATTAGGAAAAGAATGGTGACTCTTCTAAAAATCCAGTTCAACAAAAGCTCACTCCACCTACAAGTACTGGCAAATGGTCATAACTGGAGCTAGTATTTTAGAAACATATTAGTACCTTGCAAAATCTTACACATACTAAAGAAAAGGAAATAACGGTAACCTCAGCAGACTCCTAGTTTGTCTCACTTCTCTTCCTAGCTTTGACTCTTCTGCTTCTGTTAACACACAATTACAAGCTGGATGTTTAGGCAAAACCAGCAGCATTCCCCACACCCCCATTTTTAGGACAGGATCACAAAGGAAAATAGAGTGACTGAGAACTGGACAAGTAACATTGGTTTAAACTTACTATACAGTAAATAACATCAATATTTTTTTTATCCATTGTCAACACTGGTTAATCTGGTGTTATCATTAACAGTTTTAATCCTATTGACATTAGTCTGTGACATGAGAGCCAGTATTTATGTGTCATATGGAAGTGTCCTATGTTTTGAAGTGTTGAACTAATTCTGTGTTGGGGTTTTTTCTATGCAGGGGCTGAACCCTTAGTTTCTTGTTGGCTGCATGAGACAGGGTATTGCGATGTTTTGGAGTATGTGTGAGAATGTTCAAATGAGGTGCACCATCCGTGCCCTTTCAGAATGCTATTACTTGAAACTGGAATTTACAAGCTGGGAACAAAACGTCCTTGAAAAAGGAAAACTTTTTCAATTATGCATTAGAAATTATGAATTTTGTGATAATATTTTTTTCCAAATATGTAACCTGAATCCTTTTCAAATGGTCAAAGAGCTCTTTCATCATCCTACCAAAATTTATTGTGTGAGCTTTTTGGTTTTGTGTTTGGTTTTGTTTTTTTTTCCCCTGAATTGGAACAGAACCAAATATTCAAAGTTCTATCTTTTTTCCAGCTATCAGAATGACTTTTATATGTCCCTGTGGAGGTTGTCAAGCCTGCAGAAAACCTTTTAGACATGGTCTTTTTATGTCTGTGTTGGATTTTTTTTTTTTTTACTTGATTGATGTTCTATATATTCTTAGGAAGTTTTTTCTTGAAAACTTAATTTTTTCATTACCTTTTGTTACAGTGTTTCAAAACACATACCGTGTACCTCTGTCATTGTGTCATCAAATTTTAAATTTCTTGGAATTATCCCCAGTGTTAAGCCTTGCAGTATTCCTCCTGTATAATTTTCAAATTTAAGCCATTAGATGCAAAGAGGATGGAGCCCCCATCAATCTGGCTAATACTAGTCATTTTCACTTGATTTCTTTGTAGACATGAGTCCTCTTTGTTTTCATGTCCTGTTCTTTGAGTGATTTAATTTTGCAATAGTAGATATAACTTATATACATTACATTAGGAAACCACTGAGCATGTTTTCTCTTACAAAATGAAATGTCATTTACTGTACCATTTTAATTAGACTGTACTCATAACTTTCTAAATGTCATCATGTTCATTTAAAAAGGCATGTAACCTGGTAACCAACTGTATGTTTTCATGGGAAGAGTTTCTTTACCAGTTAAGCAATGGTGAGATATTTGAACCTTTCTTCATTTTTGCATGATGTACAGTTTTTTTGGGCACTTTATCAATAGAGCAAAACTGAGTATGATAGCTTAAATATTGTGCTTTAATCATCCAGAAGAGGTCCTGCATGAAAGTAAATTCTGTAAATCATTCCTGAAGCTATTATAGTAGCAAAATGATAATTCTCTGCCTTCGATATAATCAAAATAACTCCGGTTTTTAATTGAGAATTTCCAAAGCACCAAGCACGAGACCTTTGCTAATACTGGCTGGGAGATATTTGAAGTTACATGCTGATATACAACTGTTTAGTGTGAAGTGTAAAAATTTTATCACTGTTATTTTTTGTTTTTTAAACAAAGTTTATATATATATGCACATTTGTGTGTGTGTGTGTATAGGGAGAGAGAGAAGCGTTTTCAATGCTTGTAAGCAGCGTTTGAATACTCTGTAGAAATGCTGTTATAACAGGTACAGATACGGAGTGATTGTTTTAGACACCAAGACTAATAATTTTAACAGTGTTTAGAAACACTGGAGAAAAGCCTTGAACTATGCTAGCACCAGGGACAGACAAGCATGAAAGATTAATGTAATTTTGCATATAATGATGCACATTCTTACACAAAAAATCCATCTGCAAGTGTCATGTCAGTCAGCAAAAATCTTTGATGGGTGGCTGCAGCTGGGCTGTCTCTTCTGGCAAAGCTGGCCTAGAAAATGCTAAATGTAGTTATGATGCTTTGTGCCATCTGTAGTATGCCAGTTTATCCTGTCTTCACTGGCATTTACAGTACTATGTAGGGTATCAGCAAACACAGAGACATCAATGCAGAGTGACAGATTCATTTCCTCCAGAGGCTATGAACTCTGGTGTATATTCGTGCCACCTTCTTCTGTATGTTATATTCTGTTGTCACTGGTATTTGGCTTGATTTCATACTTCTGTGTTTTACTCCTCATATTTTTGATTTAGCAATTTGCATATCCTAACACAAAGGCAATTAAATTTGATTGATACTGAAATAATTCAGCCTTAACTGAGGATATGCTTGCATTTTCCTGAAGTTTACCAACTGTGGCAATGCTAAAACTTGCATTCTGATGCAGTAAAGATCTTTGCTAGTTCTCTGAATTTAAATGCACTAAATAGCCATGTGCCTGATGGCAGCTGAGTTTTCATGTGCCTTGCCTTTTAGCTAGCATAACTGTAAAACATGCCTTCTTATACTTTTAATGATTTAAAAAAATATCTGAACTGAATTATTGTCTGTTCCTTAGGATAGAAGGGCAAAAATTTTAAAAACTGTTTTAAATTTTCTAATCTTCTGATAATGTTATTTTCCACAGTAACTGAATACGAAGGACATGCTCTCTCAGTACTTAAAGAATGTGAACTTCAGGCGTTTGATGGGTAAGTTGGTTAGCCACAATGAATCTTAATAGACGTCATCGCATTAGTTCTTATTTATATTCCATCCAAAACTATGCTAGTAGGTATTTCATGAGTTACTCTGCTTCACATAAGTTAAGCCTGAGAAAATCAATTCTTATTAGATGCTTTGTTTTTTATTACTTATTGACAATAGCTATGTATTTTAAATTCATAAATAATGATAAATAAACATAAAGCTTTCTTAAATATGCTTCATGAAAGCTTCAGTCTCTGTATTTGCAAGAATGGCACAAGTGCCTTGTATTTCACTCTGTCCATTCAAATGGTTCTTAAGGAGAACATTTTATCTAAAAGTAATTTGAATGTTTTTTCCATTAAAAAAAAAATAAAATTCAAACTTGAAGTCAAGAATGAAAATTCTTGTTCAATAATTTTTAAAGTCCTTGCTATGTGGATTAATCATGCAATCTTTAGTATTCTTACTTTAATCATTCAATATTAAGATTCAATAACATATAAGAATAGTTTTGCATACTGTGGAATTATTACAGCCTTCTTATAACTCTTTCTGTAATATGCAGTGAGCCATACAAGAAGGCTTAAATAGTGTTTTATTGTTTCATCAATTTCTATTGGTTCTAGAAAGTCCTGGAGTTAGGTGAGAAAATATATCTGAAAATGTGTGTATGTATTCGAGATTCTGAGGATAATTTCTTTCAAATTAAGATGTGCCTTTTGGGGTGCTAGCTGGGAGCCGGTTTGTCCTGGGAAGCAGATACTAAGTTAGAGAAGAAAAAGTCTGGGTTGAATCTTCTTCCACAAACCCCTTCTGCCCTTCTGCTCTGAGTCATATGTGAGTTGCTTCATCTTCGATCATTGGGTGGGATTGCTGGAGTACTTCCCCTGTAAGACTTCTCTCCAGTAGCCAGACCTAAAGGCAAATAGGAACATAAAGAAGCTGGAAGAAAATAATCCTTAAGTTGATAGGATGCTAGGAGAGCTGAGGTGAAAAGATCCCTGCCTTTTCTAAGTTAGCTGTTTAAGGGTTGGTTGTTTTTTTTTTTCCACATGTGAAAATTAAGTATGTGTTTTTTTATCAGAGGTTATAAGCAAAAGTGAGATTTCTGAAGTGTTTAAAAAATGAGCTTTATAACTTCTCAAATAGCCTGGCCTCCATCTATGTACTCATTCAATAAAGCACAATGCAGAAAAACATCCTATTAAATAGCTAACTTGAGATGCTTTTTGATACAAGATCATAGGGAAGATGAGTTGCAAGGGTAACTCTTTACACTGAGGTACCTAGAGATATCTTAATTGTTCTTTTCAAGTAAAATCTACAGAGACTGATAGGGTGAGGTCAGCATTCATATCATGCTAAAGGACTGAAGAAGAAAGATACAAATCGTCCCTAGTCTCTCTTCTATTATCTTTAGAGTTGGTCTTAAGAACAGGAAGAGAATATTTGAAATTGGGATTTTCTTTTTCAAATTGTTTAAAGGCTTATAGTATACTTTTGATTATGTTCCTGTGAAGTCCTTTGTGACTTCTTCATTGCTGTCTAGCCTAAGAATTTCTGCCATAGAAAAAAAATGTCTTACAGGCTCCCCAAACCATCTCAGTGTTTCCCAAATAAACTTTTAATTACAATTTTGGTTTATTGAAAATTAAACCAGAAAATGTATGGGATCTGTTTTGAATTGAAAATTAACTCCACAACAATGAAATTGTCCCACTGATGAAAAGTCATGCTTTTAGCAATTCTAGCAGCCACATCTAGCATGACATCATTTCACTTTTTCCATTAAGCCTTGAGAAGTTTTAGTTGTTTGTGGAGCAGCACTGGGTGTGATTTGGCTGGCTTCAGTTCTTTATTGTTTTGCCCTGGCTTCCTGGCCAGTTTTGTTCCGGTCAGGTGCTGTATCTGTCACTTAGTTCTGTGTTTAGAAAATAGGCTAGCACTTCTCTACCTCGTCTTAGACGTGGCAGGCCCTGTGTGTGGTGGTAAGAGGTAAGGTAGGTTCTGCGCTATGTCTTCATGGCAGGGTTCATGTCCTGTGGCCCTCACAGGCCCTTGCCCGAGCTCTGAGGTGACAGGAGGTGTTAGGTGTGGACTGAAGGCTGTGCCTGCCCACATCGGGCTGCTGTGCTCAGCTCAGCTCAGGCTTTCCAAGTGTTGCCCGTTTCAGACGGGCTGAAACCTAATTCAAGTAAAAATGTATAAAGGGCAAGACAAAACTGTTTTTTATTCATTACAGCAGGTGAGCAGTGTAGCAACATGCAATTTCTGATCTTGAATTTCTCTCTAAGAGAGTTGTGGTTCCTTACGTGTTAAACAGCACGTGAAGTAAACTGAAGCTTATGATTTGCAGCAGTAAATTGGAAGTTTGTCTGTCAGCGCTGTCTCTAAGGAATACAATTATGTCTTAACTCTTTGTGAAAGCTGTTTCTATATGTAATTTATTTTCTCTGATTTCTGCAGTTCCCGCTCTGTTTTGCAAGATGATAGGCATATGTCGTGTGTCTCATATACTCCACCTTTTTTGTTATCGCTTTTTTTTCTTTTTTCTGACTGACACTGGAAATGTAGGTACTTTGCCAATTTAACAGTGCTTTGTTCCTCTGCCTTGGGGCCAAACCTTGGTGACAAATAGAGTGCATTTGTGGTGCTGCTGTCTCAGCTGCATTTTCTTGTTTGCACAGTGACAGAAAACACAATATCCGTGCATGTGTTCCTTCCCTAGTCAGGAGCCCAAGATACTATGAATATTATTTAGAGTAGCCCAAGTTAGTCAGACTTTAGTGAATACTTAAGAAACTTGTGTCTGATGGTTAGACTGATGGATAGACAGATTTTTCTTCCTCTAAGAAGCCTTTTTCAAGATCTTAGTCAAATCTCTTTGCTTAAGACTTTTAACTCCTTATGCGTAGTAGGCTCTCTGATGAGCTTTGGAATTGCTGGTCCCTGACGGTATCTCTGTTTCCCGCTAAAAAGGCTACTCTTGATGATTAATGCTAAATTAATAAAAATTAGAGTTAGCAGGTTTTTTTATGTTATTCCTTGGACTCTTCATCTATTTCCAAAAACAACAGACACAGCACCTCAAAATGAGAATCTGTTTTCAAAAGATTTACTAGCCAAAAGACAATCCATCTCAGGCTTTCCAGGTGTACAGTTTTTCAGACTACAAAGATTAACTGGTTTTGCCGCCCTGGCAGAAACTTCTAAGCCTAGGAATAAACCAATCTAGACCAAAAATAAGACAAGAGATGACTCCTAATTATGAGCAGAAAGAAAATGTGCTTCAAACTTTTGCTATGTACTCTTCTTTTTTTCTTAACATGTGCAGTGTTTTACTAGACAAACATTTCTAAGAATATAGAAGTTAAAAAATAGTTAGAAAATAATAATAGGAACTAAAGAAAAATGTAAAAGGAGGTGAGTTAGTTTAATTTTAGCATTCAATAACATAATGAGCATTTTCTTATAACCAGTTTTATCTGATTGAATTATTGGACATAGTTTTACAACTGCATTCATATAGATACTTAAAATATCTTTTTTTTCATATAAGTGCCTCCTAAAGTGAATCTGATATATTAGTAATTGTACACTCCAACCATTTATATCTTTATGATTAAAATGTGTTTACCTTAAAAACATTTAACTTTGAAACATTACTAATTTGGAGAATCAGTTTAATAGTTACTTAAAAAAAAAAAAAAGAAAAGAAAAAGACGGGGGAAAAAAAAAAAGACTTTTGCTGTAACAGAGCTTTTATAGACAAATGCATTCCTCTCTATAACCACAGCAGGTGGGAGTTTAATTACATGCTCCAGAAGCAGTGATTAAGTACCGTCATGCGAAGGATTGCTGGCACTGGGGTTTTATACCTTGCTAAATCCCTCAACTGCTTGCGTACTGTGTGGAATTAGCTGTTTTCAAGTATTTTTAATTTTATTGTAGTATTTGGTGAGTTGCTATTATAAGGGCAATTAAAAAGCTTTGGAATGCTTGTGTGGCTCAGCATTGAAACATTTAAAGAACTTTTACACTGAGGCACTTGAGTGTGTGCTTAACTCTTCCAGCTGATCAGTTCACGTGCATAATGTGTGATAAGGTAAGAAATATTTTGTAAGTTGTTGCCTATATTTACTCCTACTCAGGCAGAAGAAAGTAGAAATAAGGATTTTTACATCTTGTTAGTTAACATCAACTGATCTGACAGTGAAGTCCTAGCTTGTTCTTAAAGAAAGAATGATTCTTACCTATTTGAAATATCATTATGTATATGGTGTGTGACAGCTGCCTTCACTTGTTAGCTCAGCTATGGAAGAGTTTATTTTGAACTGTTTGGCTTTTTTATTTTGAAATAGGGTAGTTTGTGTTGGTGGAGATGGATCTGTCAGCGAAGTTGCTCATGGTCTACTACTTAAAGCCCAGATAGATGCTGGAAAAGACACAAACTATATACCAACGCCTGTCAGAGCACCAGTTCCACTTGGAGTAATACCAGCAGGTGAGACTAAAAGGTACTGTTACGTTTTGTTAGTCATCCATTTTAAGTCCCTCTGGCACGTTTTACAGTTTTGGCTACTAAAAGCAGTTCTTGGTGGTAAAGTTTCAGTCACTTAAGGGAGATATTGAATAAATGCCCCAAATTACTGATTTAGATAATTGCAAATGACTAGATTTTAAATCATTATGATAATTTATAGTAATGGCACAGATGAGCTCTTTGCCTAAAGGAAGAAGCTCAGGAAGAAGAAAACTAAAATAATTTTCAGCTGATTTATGCAAAGATCAAGTTTTGCCCTTATTTGCTGCCAGAAATGATACCAAATGAAAACTTTGTTTTCTAGAGTTTCCTTAATATAGGGCATGCTGCTTCGCTGCTCTCTCCAGTTATCTTGGCAGGATCCTCAGTTGTGTTCATGCTTAGGGTCTATTTTTACATGGTAACCCAGGAATACATTGTGTGGTTTATATTAAAGAAAATAATACTATCCACACAACTGCTTGCTTTCTTCTTTGTGTCTATTAACCTGAAAACATATGCATGTCTCTTGAAAAGTCCTCTTGCTCCTTTATTAATGTGCACTTGCATCTTGTGGGGTGTTTTTTGTGTGTTTATTTTGGGGGTTTTGGCGGGGGGGGGGAAGGTATCCTTTCTCCCACTTTTCATATTTTCCCTTCTCAGAGTATAATTTGGGCCAGGCAGGGAGGCTTACCTGGAATTAGGTACAGGCCAGGCTGATTCCCTGATTTTATATGAATCACTTCCCTTTAAAAGAGGAGGGGTATTTTTGCATGGACACAACCCTCTGGTGTGGATGTTGATGTGACTATTTGATGTAATTTTTCAGATGTTTTTAACTACTAAGAAAAAAAGTCCTTCAGCCAGGTTAACAGCAAATCGTTGGTTTCAGTTTTCTACAAAAAAAAAAGGAGCAAGTTGCTTCTGAACTGAGCAAGCAGGTCATAAGTGCTCTGACTTGCTTTGCACTTCTAAAAGCAGCATTAAGACAGGGACTAGTTGCTTGTAAAAACACAAGACTCTACTAGCTTTTTTCAAGTTAAAAAAAGCTTGGAAATATATTGGCAAAAGATACAGTAATCTCAAAGACGTGAAGCAAATGAATTTTAGTACAGCAGTCAGACCATCACTTACCAGCTCAGTTGCTGTGAATATCTTGATGGTGTTGAGATGGAATCTCTCTAGTGCTTGACTCTGCTGTCTGGGCGTGCTTCAGTCACTGTGCCTCATCATTAGTGCTTACTCTCTTCAGTTTAAGGCAAATATGTCATGATCAAAAAGGATTTGTAAACCCAAAAGAATGCTGTATGGCTTGTTGCACAGAATGCCATAGACTTTGTTATACGAGGGTGAGAACAATTTATAGAATGATAGTGTGGAAAATTCCTGAGTAGGTTCTTTAAAATAATCTATAGTTTATTTTATTTCCATATTAGTGATATTCCAAAAAGTAGACAGTTAGGGAACAGATAATTATCATATTTATGTACATGAAGAAGGTGAAACTCCATAGTCAATTAATTCTGCCCTGCCACAGACATCCATTGTACCAAATTATTAGGATTCTCCTACTCAGTAAAAATAGAAATTGTATGATGGGATAGCATTATTTGAGTGGCTTAAAATCTGGTTTTAGCCTCTATTATAAGTAGTTAAGACAGCATTTTGAAGTTTCAGCCAACTTGATGGGAAGAAGCTGCTCTTGAAACAGGTTACTTCCTGCAAAGAAAGGTCCAGAGGGGAGCGTGTTTATACTAAAATACTCTACTGAGCTGCCTTATTCTGGTCCAAATCAGATGGATGAGATGTGGGGAAGCCTGCAGTTGTACTGCTGGCCATTAGCAAGAGTGTTTGTTGCTATGGGAACTACTGCTAAGAAACTGTACTGAGGGGGAATGGGAGAAAGGGGAGGGGGAACTGGAAGGACATTAAAAAAGCTATCCAGTTGTTACAGAACAAGAGACAATCTGTATCTGATGACTGGGAGCCTTTTGGTCCTAAATGGTTCATTTAAATAAATTCATGATTTCCAATTAATTCAGAAAATAAAATATTACTGAGGGACTCTTAATTTCTGTGATATTTCAGGCAAAGAACCAAAATGTTGGTGCAGTTTTCATCAGAATTTTAGCTATGCTTGACTAGGAAGTCATTACATCACATTTATCTGTTTGGATGGGGGAGACATTAACAGCCTTATGAATATTCATGTTGACTGGTTAATTAAGTTAATTGTACTGCAGAAGTGCTTGCACTTCCAAGGACAATTTTTTTCTCTACAATTTCTGTTTGGTACCTTTATCAGTCATGCTTTACATGACCTGCAGATACTTTGTCCTTACTGTGATACTTTTGCACTTTTCATGGGAAGGAGGTTGTAGGTAGTTGTTTGTAATGTCAGGAAAATGGGTTAATATTTTGAAGATAATTATATTTTTTGAATAGTAAAATCTTCTTTGTTTAAGAAATGTTGGTGACAGAGATGCTGGAGTTGTATGGATGAAACCTTTTTACAGTAAATTGAATAGTTGGAATGAGATCTAATAATATGACTGTTAGTAATCTGTGTGAGGTGCAAGCCCGTACATGAGCATCAAAGAAGGTTATTAGTCTCTGAAGTAATATGATAGTGTTCAGGGGAACCATCTTGTTACTGGTAAATAATATTCAGAGCTTACACAGGGGGGAGAAGAAGGTTTAGATGATGTAGGAAGATGAATAATAGCATTAAAATCACTATTATTGAATTGCCACTTTTATATTCTACGTTTTTCGTATGATAACTTCTATTGTTTTGTTTCTAAGCTTTTTATTTTTTGGTGTGGCATCCTGCTTGTATAGGACCTAGGTAATGAGACACGTTATTCAGTCATTACTGCAATCTAAATGCTGTTAGGCGTGTATTAAGAGTTTTTTAGAGAAGGTGATGGTACTTGCTACTGCACACGTGCGTGTGTTCTACCTCTTCAGCTTGTGGAAGGGTGGATGTTTTTGAACAGAGGCAGAACTTAACTTTATTTTCCCAGGAGTCATGAAAGGGTGGGTTTTGCCTTGTTTACTTCTGCAAATGTTAATGAGCTTCACAGATTTAAGTGAAGGATGCAATTACTTGTGTCTATCCTGTTTAATAAGAATGAGGTTTAACTCTCATTTAAGTCAGTATGAAGATTGGTATTGACTTCAGCTGTGGTCATTTGTTACCTTGCTGCAATCCATATTGACTCTTACTTAAATGAGGAATCCCAGTTTTAAGACATACCAAGCTTAAACTTCAGAAGTATATTCTTGATCTTCAGAGACAAAAATATTTCTTCAGAATAACAGCTTTCCTTTTGTCAATTTATGGGAAATAAACGCAATTTGCATGACTTGCAATGATCTGCTCTTTGTTTGCGTGATTTCCTTTGTTTTGGAGAGGTTCCCATAAAAGTTTATAAGAGTTGGAAGAATTTGATTGAAGAAAATATTTAGGTATTTTTGAGCTGCTGCTTTAACTAGCTTTACTGGCTAAGCAGAATTAGTTGAATCTAGAGGTTAAATATCATAAGTCATTCAAACATGAAATGCTGTTGGGCATATACTTGTATTATTCTGTGAAGGATTGCTTTTTAGGTCCAACCTTTTTTTTTTTTGTCCCTGAATTTTCGTTATAGAACTGTATTTTATGTGACTTATTTGAAAAACTCACTCTTTTGCCCCATCCCTTGAATTGTTTAAGGGTTGGATGGGGCTTTGAACAGCCTGCTCTACTGGGAGGTGTCCCTGCCCAAGGCAATGGGATTGGAACTCGATGATCTTTTTTTAAGGTCCCTTCCAACCCAAACGTTCTATGATTCTATGATTTTTGCATAGTAAATGGTATCTAGAGCTATATTATTGCCTTTTCTTTTTTATGTCTACTGGACAGAAAGGAAAGTTCAACTTACTTTTAGTTAAGTTGTTGGATAGAAGTTACTGCATATAAATGATTGACATTGTAATATTCTTAGTAAACTGGACTTCCTGTTAGTGTGTCTAGAGAAACTTTACTTTTGACAGAAAAAAGTGAAGAGTTGCATTGAGCTTTTGAAGTTGTCAATTTACACTTCTTTCAAAGTACTTCATAACAGCATATTTACCTATAAAATTCTGAGAAATATGTGAATGAAATTACTTTGTTTTTTTTTTTTTTTAATTGTTCAAAGAATGAAACTTTACGTAACCTGATTTCTTCCATGTACCACTGGAGATGTAAACTTCAAAGAATATTTTGTATCTGTTGTTGTAATGCATGTGCTTCACTTATTTCCTTCATATAGAAGGAGCCCTGAGAGCCTTACTCATAGCTTATCTCTCTGACATTGTAATGTTTTCCATGAGGTTCTCAGTATTCTGAGTTACTTTCAGAGACTAAGGTGCTATAAGAATATAACAGGTGCTCTGTGAGATACTGAGATGCAATTCCCAGTTATTTTACAGATTCTTATACAGAGAAATTATTGAAAAAAATTGAAGCATCTACTCCTGAATAAGAATGACAAGATGCCTTTAGAGCTTTGTAACTATGTATATCAGTCTTTCCAAATTTAGTAATTTTTTCCTGCCACTAGCGTGACATCAAAGATTGCAGAGTTTTGGGAAAAACTTAATTTTTCAGTCTGGTACATGATGCTTTTAAAGTGTTTATTTAAATATTGAGTGCCTGTTGTTTGAAATGTGATATTCTTCCCTTTCCTCTCTTCTCTCCCTCATTTTTGAAAGACAAGTTTAAATACTTCTGTAAAACTTAAAGCAAATTTAGCATCCAGAAGTGTCTCTTACTGTTGTAACATATTAAATAATTCAAGCAACAGGAAAATGATTTGAAAATCTAACTGAACTCATTCCTTTATGGAATGTTAGGTTCTAAATTGTGCTTTTGTAACTTTTGTTATTTTAATTAATCTGTTATTGAATTATTCATCCCTTAATCAGTGATATGAAGAAGCTCAATATTCTGCCTGCTTGGTGGCAGGCCTTGGTTCTTTTTTTTGCAGAAGTAAATCCTATGGCTTTGCTGCTTGGCTAAGAAACACCAGAGATGTGATCAATGAGAAAAATCAACTTGAAATTCTGTTAAAACTGTACCCATTTAGGAAAGATGCAACCATTCTTTGTTTGGGATTTTTAAAATAAATTGCTGCTTAAAAGTCAGCTGGTACACAATATCCTATCCATCAATGCAGAAGGGCAAAATTTGCATGTATAGCTGTGTTTTTTACACAGGTGAAGTGACTTGACCTATCAATCACCACTAAACATGGGTCTCCAGAGCCACGCTGCTTTCATTTACAAACTGATAACTAGTTTTCCACTCTCTCTTCCAACTCCATGCTCTCATTGTTAGTTCTTAACTTTTTTATTCTATTTACCAGCTGATTTACTACTCACTCCCTTGTTTAAAAATAAATGAATCTCTTCTATCCAGTGGCTAGTGCTGCAACTGCTCTGCCAGTGTCCAGGCAATGACAAAGACAAGTCAGATGGGTTCATTTTAATGCACTGAATGCAAGTTGTCAATTTGGCAGACACACTTCAAATTCTATGTTCTCTCTGTTTTTTAGTCATTGGTGTGTTCTTATTCGCTATTGCTTCTAAGAATCTAAAATGTAGCCTGCAAGAGGTGCAGCTCTCTTAGACTAGATCTAGTAGAATTTTGTCTGGGACACATACAGTTTTATACTGGCTGGGTATTATATTATTTTTCCAACTTAAAAATATTCCTCAAATATATCTTATTAGATAATCTGCTTTCTAGTACAGTTGCTTAATACAGCATTTAGGTATAGAAGAAGTGATTTTTTAGGGGGGTGGTTTAAAAAAAACAAAGGCAATTTTTCTAAAGCTTCCCCCTCACCTCCATTGGTTTTTAAGGTACTTTATAAATGAATTTGCAGAAAGGATTTTGTAGACCTCTGGAAATTTTAATGGTTTTAGTTTGTACTGTTCAGCATTTCTGCTGTTACCAAGACTAAGTAATTTGTGGGGAGGCTTTTTTTTTTTTGAGAATGCAATAAATGTCTCAATTTCTTCTTTAATTTTTTTTTCTTGCTGTTCTGTATCTCTTATTTCTACAGTAGCTTGTGTTCATTTTTACAGGTACTACTAATATTTTGGCGCACACTCTCTATGGTATTAAGCATGCAGTGACTGCAGCGTTGCACATTGTAATGGGTAAATATTTTTACTTACATTATCATATTTTAAATAATGAGGCATTATTTAGAAGTTTGCCATAACCAGTGTTTTAATAAAGGCTTACCGTTATGCTATAGCACTGTAAACTACATTGTAAGACTTTTAAACCCAAACAATTCTATCCTGATTTATAGTGTATTGGAAAAGTTCTAATTCTTTGAGTATAGTTTAGTGGCAAAGGTTGTGGACCTCATCTTTCGGTAAGTAAAATCTGCCTTGGAATAATGTCTGATTTTAGCATTCATATTAGCATTCACCAATTTTCTAATGCAGTCAGTAACCTTTTCCAATTTAATTGTGTGAATAGTGTTACTCTGTGTGTGTTATTATGCAATGATTGGTTGCATAATCACTTGATTATTTTAATTTAATGTACCTGCTGAAGACAATAGGAAATTATATAGTACTTTCAGCTTGAGGAAGGGGTTAGGATTGGACTTTTCAGGAAAGTAGTGTTATATTTCTAAGAAAGTATCATTCAGGTTTTTGGCTCTGTGTGCATTTCTTTTAAATAGTAACAGTTTCCATAAGAAAGCCATTATTAATAGAAAAAACTGTATCACTTGCCATTTGGTCGGCACAATAAATAGTTTTTTGAATGTGAAAATTTCACTGAATTTTCACTGAATTTCTAGAGTTGGAAGGGACCATAGAGATCATCTAGTCCAACTCCCCTGCTGAAGCAGGATTGCCTAGAGCTAGAGCATGTTACTCAGGACTGCATCCAGGCGGGTTTTGAAAATCTCCAAAGAAGGGGACTCCACAACCTCCCTGGGCAGCCTGTTCCAGGGTTCCGTCACCCTCACCGTGAAGAAGTTTCTCCTCATATTTGAGTGGAACCTCTTATGTTCCAACTTGTGCCCGTTGCCCCTCGTCCTCTCGGTGGGAACCGCTGAAAAGAGTCTGGCTCCCTCCTCCTTCAACCCACCCTTGAGATACTTGTCAGCATTGATAAGGTCTCCCCTCAGCCTTCTCTTCTCCAGACTAAAGAGTCCCAGCTCTCTCAGTCTCTCCTCATAAGGGAGATGCTCCAATCCTTGAATCATCTTTGTAGCCCTACGCTGGACTCTTTCTAGTAGTTCCCTGTCCCTCTTGAACTGGGGAGCCCAGAACTGGACACAGTACTCCAGTTGTGGCCTCACCAGTGCAGAGTAGAGGGGGAGAATGACTTCCCTTGACCTGCTGGCTACACTCTTCCCTATACAACCCAAGATACCATTGGCCTTCCTGGCCGCAAGAGCACACTGGAGGTTCCACCGAGATATGAACTCGGATCGCTGGATTCAGAGTCCAGAGTGCAAGTGTAATTATGCTAAAAGGAAAAACTAGCTTGCTAATACAAACCTTATTTTCAGGTCTTAGGAAAATAGCAAATACTTAGTTGAGCAATGTTAATATTCCTCACAAAGCAAATTTACTTTGGGATACTTTTTTATTTTTCCAAATAAAAAAAGAGAATAATGGGGAAGGTTCATCTTGAGTATCTATTTCCTAGACCTTGCAGTCAGCAGTGGAAGACCCTTCCAGACAAAATCTAGAACTGTCTCTTTTAATCTGAGACACTCAATCTAATGGAAAACACCCAGGTTCTCACAGAAAAAAATGTATATACCCCATCTTGACGAGAACTGGATGTCTAAATTCCAGAACTGTAAACATAATTCCAGTTAAAACCTATATTTAAGAGCTCCCATATATCCTCCAATACAATTTTCAGTCATTGCAAATATTTATGTAGCAACATTACATTTTCTTTGATACTAATTGTTGAAAATTTGAAAATTGAGTCAGATCTTTTGCAGTTTGATGAAGTAGCTGAATTTTTGCCGTAACTTTTTTAACACTTTGACATCTGAACATTGTTCTCTGAAATGACTAGTTTCATAGAGTCTTAATTATATCTAGATTGATTCTGGTTTCCGTTAGTAAAACTTGACTTCCTAAAGACAGAAGAGTCTGGAGTCTTTTCCTGAGGCTAAATTAGATGCAAAAGAAATTGTAAGTTGTATTCCATTTGAAATACAGATGTTATTTGTAATTTCTGATCTTTATCTTTGAAAATGTAGGACATATTCAGCCAGTGGATGTCTGTACTTTCAGTACTCCAAGCAAGCTGTTGCGCTTTGGGTTCTCAGCTATGTTTGGTTTTGGTGCAAGGACTCTAGCTTTGGCTGAAAAACACCGTTGGATGCCCTCCAGTCAGCGGAAGGATTTTGCTTTTATCAAAACACTGGCAGATCTCAAGTATGCCATGAGCTGTTACATTTTTCTAGTATTTTTCCTTTTCTTGAGGAAAATGCAATAATTAATGTGGTAAAGACATAGACAACAGTAGTTTAGCTATGTGGACGACTTAATTGCAGACAGATTTAACTCAGATGTGATGTATATCCCTCTTATATGTTAAAGAGGAGATAAATTCTGTATATTCGGCATCTGCTTAAAATCATCTTAACTTTGATAAAACCTGTCTAGCAGTTAGAATATTGGTTTACATGATAGTAAATATCAGTACTTTTCTAGGCCAGAAGAATGTGAATTATCATTTCTACCTCTACAAATTCCACAGGAAGACTCTCATGAGAATGACAGGTAACTAAAACTGAGTCAAACAATTCCAAAGCTACAAAAATACGTATGTCTGAAGATAAAATTGTAAAGTGCCTCATTTTGTTCAAATTTGACCACTGGGTAAAACAATCTTTAAAAAAATAAAAAATAGAAGATTTATTTTGACAGCTCCCAAGTTTTTATACTTTCTAAAACATTCCCTGTAGACTATAGAGGATTTGTTACAAACCATTCTTCCACTCGGTATTACTGGTTTGTTAGTTCCCTTAATCCTTTCTTCCATTGAGATATTACTTTTTTTTCTAAAGTAGATACTGTTTAAATGTGCTAAAACGAATCTAAATTATTTTACCTACATGTTTCTGACCTTTTAGAAAGAAGAAAGAGAAAATTAAAAAAAAGGGTGAGTTCTTTTGTTTTTACAGTTATTTAAAAGCGAACTGTGGCTTGTTAAACTGGAGTAATGTAGAATTACTCTGTTATATTTAGGTGGCAAGGATCAATGGCACAAAATTCAGGGTCACTTCCTGAATGTGAGCATTATGGCAATCCCTTGTCTGTGTTCAATGGCACCAAGAGGCTTGGCACCTAATACGAGGTCAGTAGGGGTTTAGAGAATTAGTCATGTCTATAAATTCTGACATCTTACCTTAAGACCTTGGCTTTTCCGAGAATACGAGCCTGTGTTTAGGTAGTCTAGACCCTCTGGAATGGGGGAGGGAGCAGGGACTGCAGCAGACTCGATAATCCCGGGAATTGTAATCAGTTTTTGGATCAGGCAAATAAGGTCAAGCAGTCTAACTAGAATAATGAGTGGATAATTGCTGTGATCAAATTAGTTGGCAAGTCTGACTTAAGTAGTAGTCATCAAGCAGTCATCTGTCATAGGATTTGACTATATGTAGAAACTTCATTCTTGGATTTTATTTCATTTAAAATATTAAGATGCCCCACATCTGCTTTACAGCCAGCCAAAATGAAGCGTGAATCTTTCTACTGTTATGAAGAACTGAAATTCACACTTGTCTTCTGTCTCTTTTTCTTTTTTTTCCTTTTTTTTTTCTTTTTCCTCCTGAACTTAGGAAATGCAGGGTTTATACATGTGGGGTTTTGGGAAACAAACGAGTATGTAATCTGGTTGTTGGCATTGACTCATTTTGCCTTTAGCTCATGTTGAGAGCATGCTTTGTGGTGATCAAAACAGTCATCAGGTGATAAATATTTGTACTTGATGTAACCTGTTGATGATTAAACAGAGTAGCAAGTACAAACTTTGTAGTTGTATGTGAAATATAACATGATCCCTCAAAAAAGAATGAAAAGAAACTCATATATATATGTATATATATGCACTCAGGGAAGTTTATGCAATTACTCTGTTTTGTTTCATTTGATTATCATTGGGTGAAAATAGATGTACCTTAGAATTGATCAGGTATTTTTCTTCAAAAGTACTGGCTGATCTGGAAGAATTTGATGTATTGGAAATGATATAGAAGGAAATGTTTTTGATGAAACTCTAATTGAGTAGGATTCTTTGCTACAGAGGTCCCACTGAGCCTCATATACCTCAGGATAGTGCCCTGATGCCGTCCCCACTTAGGAACTTACTCTGTTCAGCATTTAGTGTGTTGTATTCCAGTCAGTAGAAACATTCTGACAAGAATTGAAGAAATTACTCTTTTTTAGCTTTGCTTTCTCTTTCCATCTGTTCTGGCACCTGTTTCTCAGTGGCAGGGAGATTTATGACAAGCCCATGCAGTAATTGCCGGCTTGAATTAGCGTGTTTCTACCACAGTATAGTTGCTCTGTGGATCCCCCTATCCTATCATATAAGGACATCCTTTTTTTTTTTCTTCTCTTAAAAAATAATCTTAGGATTGGAGTCAGCTAATAGGGTAGGAAGAGTAGACTCTTCAGACAAGTGCTTCATTTCTGATATTGAATAGCATCTTGACTGTAAGGCTTTTTAATATGGGAAACATAAACGTTGCACTGATTGTTAGAGACTCAAGACCCATTATGGAAGTGTCAGCCAAACTCAGCTAGGTTTCTTTACTCTGTCCCATTTTCCCCAAGAGGTTTTTGCCATGTGAAGACATTTGGAGGGGAATGAAAGCTTTGCCTGCTGCCTGTAACTCCAGTTACACTAGTCTAAATATGCAGAAACATGCCAGACTACGTTTAACTCTGTGCTGTGTGAGCCATGTGGGACATTTGTTTCTCAGAGCATAGGTGGTGTGCTTTGGTGCAGACTGGACTTTCAAGAGAATTAATGAGAATTCTTAGTCATCTTTTAAGAGAAAAGGCCGTAGTGCCACATGCATTGCCCAGTCGCCTGCTGCGCCCTTTGTTGCAGCAAGCACAATAAGGAGGCAGCTTTTTCAATTTCACCCTCACTGTTTCTAAATCAACAAAGTAATGCAATGCCACGTGACTTGCTTAATGCTTACATAAAAATTACCTTCTTAGACAGAGCTGTATCGTAATGGTCTTAGGACATTCCTGATGCAATTGTTCAGTAGCCAGAGAATTATGAGTGTGGAGAGATGTGTTATGGTAGGCTGGAAGTATTTTTATTTTCTTTAAACATTTTCAACATAATTTCCAAGTATACATGCTGAGTAAATAAATATAGATATGTACGCATATGTATTCAGAAGATATAAAATACTTTCTATATAGAATACAATTTTAGCAGTGTTATCATGTTAATCAGATACTCTTGTTGAACCTTGATTTGTCTGTATAACTTAAATGGGACTTGGGAGTGATTGCGCTGAGATTCGGATTGTTCACTTCTCTGACAAGGTACAGTTGTGTTAAGGGGGAATCTGTGAATTGATAATAGCTCATTGTCTAACTCAAACTCTCAAAGATGCTAAAATATGAATGGTGACTGGGTACCCTGGGATCATTGAGTTTCTGTACTGTAGGGTTTCTTCTTGATTAAGCTCTAGCGTATGACTGTTTTATCTTATGCAAAATTCCCTTAGCTTTTAACCTTTGTGTGCTTTGTGAAATGTTAGTAGAACTGTACTGAGAACTGCTTAGAGAGTTTGAATAGTGGCATAGTTGAAGATCAGGATCTTTGTTGGGGCAGCCATGAATGTTAATGGAGGAGGAGAAGGAGCCCATCTGCATTGGGATGTATGATGGGGATGTGCTTGTGTGCATCATGGAAATAGTTTCTTGGTAAAGCTCTGTCTCATGACATTTATGGTGGTCATTATACTTTGCTGGAGAGAAGAGCAACAAGATTAATTTGTGTTGCCCAATGTTTAAAAAGTCATCCGTTAGGTAGAAAAGCAGGGTTTTAAAAATTAAGGTATTGTGTTCAATAAATTATGGATATTGATAAGGGAGTACAATTTTATTGTTTGTTACAGTGTATAAGTCTACTGATGCTAAATAACCTCAATTGCATAGTTTATATTCATGTTTGGCGGGTTGGCAAAAAAATGTAAAAAACCATTGGGACTGTTCTATTCATTTATTCTTGCTAGCTTTTTTTTAAAATCTAGACTATTGAATTGTTAAACTTCCAAATTAATGAAATTTATTTTGGGAACTAAATTGGTCTGCTTTTCAGGTTGAATAATGGAAGCATGGCTCTTATTGTTGTACAAAATACTTCTCGAACAGAGTTTATAAAACACCTGAAAAGATACGCCAGCGTAAAAAATCAGGTACTGTTAATTTCTTTCTGGTGATTATAAAAAGAACAGTTAATCGTGAAGGTAGATAGGCTGCAAGAGTTAATGTTAGCATCCTCATAAGGAGACTTAGGTTCCTGTCAGAATACATTAGCCCCCTTTTTATCTGATTTTTTTTTTTTTTTTTTTTTTTTTTTTTTTTTTTTTTTTTTTTTTTAAATCACTAGCCTAATACCGATTAGCCTATTTCAGCCCATCTGTTGTGGTTTAAATTGTATTTGTGTTGTACTATAGTTTTACGGGTGTAAAGCCCTTTTACCACAATAAAGGAAAGGCGTGCTGTGTTTAAATTCTGTGTGGTACAGAGCTGCAGAAGGCAGACTGGGGGCATCACGCAGCTCTGACAGAAACGGGTAACTTCAGCAGATCGCTGCGTGCTCTGCTGATAGCAGTGGGTTGTGACCATTGGTTGTCAGCAGGTGTGAGCTCCAGCTAGTTAGGAATGTTTGCAGAACTGCATTTCAAAATTATGGTCATTATTCTGTCTGGAGAGAAAAAGCAAAGCATGCAAACGTAGTGCCTTATTGCTGTCCTAAATACCCAGTGCACAGCCTAAGCACACTCATTCAGATGTTTCAGGGTTAGGTGAAATCACTTTTACAAGAAGGTTTAGGTTTGAATTTATCAACAGTCAGAGAGTTTGGGGGAGAGGTCACAATTTGCTGTCACAGTTCCATGTGACAGCACTAACAACTGCATTAAGGAAATAGTTCATGCTTTCCAGTTATGCTTTTGGAGGAAGGCTTTGCTTTTCTGTCTGCATTTGTAGTTAGAAATTAGGCAAGGTGATGTGGACCCTCCTTTAAACGTAAGATGAGCATTTACTAGAATTCTGTCTGGCCTTGTTTAGGACAGGATTACTGGTAATAATGAACAGAGTGCAGGAAAAAAATCTGCTTGGACTTTCACGTTATCCTGAAAGCATGTGCCATTTTGGAGTGTGTAAAATATACCACCTCACCTATAGATTGAGCAAGTCCAATATGGGAATGCAAATGGAGCACTACGTTTTTTCTGAGGCACTATTTAGGATAAAAATAGCATGTTAATCTATAAATGCTATCTGGAATATATAATGCCTCATGTGGTCAAAGCTTGAGTTAAGTGTTCCCATTTACTTAAGACAAAAAAAAAAAAAAGCAAGCTTTTTAATTTCAAGTAATCCAGTTTGTTGCTAAGCTACCACTAATATCTTTCATCTTCTTTTAATATGTATCTGTGTTTGGTTTAGTTCAATTTTCCCTTTGTTGAGACCTACACAGTCCAAGAAGTAAAACTACAACCAAGGCTTAAAAGTGGGCTTGATGCCAAAGAAAATACATATTTGAATGCTGCTTCTGCAGAAGGAAATTACCCTTGGAATATAGATGGAGACTTAATGAAAGAAGCATCAGAAGTTCACATTCGGTAAGGCTAAGTATTATGTTTATGGACTGTATACCTGTAACAGATTAGTACTGCAATCTTAAATGTGTTACAACTCTATATACTACAGATGACTCCAAAATTGGGTGTTGTAAATGCTATGAGGATGGTGCTGTTGTGCACTGCACAGTCTGGCCCTTTTGCCATTGTGTGGGCCTCTGCCCTGTTGCCTCGTGCCCGTCTTTGGAAAGGTTTGTTATGACCCACACGGCCTTTCCTTGCAGGTTCCTAACAGCTTCCAGCTCTACTTCTCTGCTTTCTGCCTGTTGCTTTACCCTTCTGATTCTTAGAGCAGAACAGATGTACAGAAAGGTCTGTGACTCCTGGGAGGAGCTCCTTCTGGGATAAGGATTCCTGCTTGGAAAGCAGTGTGTGTAAGGTTAATAAAAACATGTAGTTGTTCAACTGTGGGAAACTTAGTGCTGCTGGAGAATAGTCTCGGTATCGAGGAACTAAAAAAAGAGAGTATGACTACACAGGGAAATAGGAAGATTATCAGTGGAATTAAACAGGCAGTGGCTCACGCTTCTGCAATGCACACAGGGTTAGTTGAAGGCAGAGAGTTCAGAGTAACAGCTATATAAAATAAAAGGCAGATCATATTATAGAGTATATAATATATATAGTTCTAAAGATCATACAATTGTTTGGGTTGAAGGGACCTTAGAGATCATCTAGTTCAAACTCTCCTGCCGTGGGCAGGGACATCTCCCACTAGACCAGGTTGCTTAAAGCCCCATCCAGTCTTGAATGATGACCTTATAGGGATTGTCAGAATGTAATTCACCTGATTTTATTCCATACAGTAGTTCATATGTATTTGTCCCCTCCCGTCCCGCCGCCCCCCTCAAAAAAAAAGTGGCACACTCATTGCAAGAGTTAATTAAACTGATAAAGTTCTACTTCCTGACTTCACAGGGTACATCCTCAACTTATTAATCTCTATGGAGTCAACACTGATGACCTGGAGAGTTCCCAAGCAACATGCAATTGCATATAGAAAGGACACACTTCAAGTTCAGTATGAAAGGCTCCTTTTCTCACCTCTATGCACAGCTTTCCAAGGTCCCAGGCTTTCACTCACTGAATTCATTTTGTAGTAGAAGCTTAACTGGGATGTTTGTAATATTTCTGGATTTAAATTTATATCAGGTTATATATTTTTATCTAGTCGTATTTAGTTGTAAAGAAGCAGGCTTAACAGGAAAAAATTAAAACTGATTATACTGGTCTCATAAATTTGAGGTTTGAGAAGAGTCCATTAGAATAGAAGAAAATAATTTTTTTCTTTAAAATTATTCTGGCTTTTGCAATAAATAGAGTATGAGGTATTTCTAAGTCTGCTGCTGCTATCCGTGTTGTCAGGTAGCTCAGTTCAAATAGAACTGGTGATTGGAAGTATGGTACCACCTCATGCTGAAGGATGGTAGCAAAATATAGATTTATATTTTTTTTAATCCAGTACCTCCATTTCTAGTTATAATTTTTAATGTTGCCTTAATATATTTGCTTTCCAATCATTTCTAGTCAAAACAGTGATACAAAAGAACATGCTGATGTCTTATATGGCTTTTCTTTGTTGAATTGTACTCTTTGTACAAAATAAGTATTTAAAAATATTTTGTCTATCCTAGAACTGAAATGATATTCAGTATAGTTTTTGTTGCTGCTGAGAATAAAGTTGTGATAAATAAATTAAGAGTTGACCTAAATTTTTATAAGTTCCCTACAGGGCATAAACGTAATTTTAAGAGTGTTTGGGTTTTTTGTAGCTTATTTAATACAATTATTGGAGATGACGGCAAATTAAGATTATATTCTTTCTGGGAACTGGCTTTTTCTGAGATGATGAAAAGTAGCAGACCAAAAAGTTTGTCCCTGCAGGACCACAGGGATAATGACCATTTTCCTGGTTGCTTGTCTATGAATAGTCGAGAAGGTGGCCGAGGAATGAGGGTGTTGGAGGCTGCATTGTCTCCCGGCCAGAATGAGTTGCTTTAAGCTCTTTCTTCAGTAAGCAGTAAGTACAGTGTGAAATCCAGTCCTTAAAGATTTTGTTAAATCAAGGGCTTAAGGCTTTACATAGGATCTATAGCTACTGTATTTTATTTTGAATGCTACTTGTTAAAAACTTTTACCTGTGATAAATACACAAGACAAAGAAGTCCTGTACCTAAAGTATGGCAATTATTTGTCTTCTAATACTAACTAATACTGTTACTTCTTGGAAATCTCATACAGTTTCTGCAGACAAACCTGGCCAGTAGTAAAGGCCATATTTGTAGACAATCAAATGACTGCTTCATAGGCAATTTAATTATTATAGGGATCTCATAGCTAGTTCTGCTCTTTGCAGTGGAGGTGCTCCGTTCCCTTGATTGCCTTTGTAGCCCTTCACTGGACTCTTTCCAGTAGTTTACTTCTTGAACTGAGGGGACCAGAACTGGACACAGTACTCCAGATGTGGCCTCACCAGGACAGAATAGAGGGAGAGGATGACCCTCGACGTGCTGGCCACGCTCTTTTTAATGCATCCTAGAAGACCATTGGCCCTCTTGGCCACCAGGGCACCTCCTGAGATGGGTCAGAGCGGGTCCAGCTATGAGACCAGATCTGGTTACTTGGGGCTTCATCCAGTCCAGCTTTGAAACCTCGAAGGATGGAGACGACACAACCTCTCTGCAACCCTGTTCTGATGCCTGGCTGTCCTCATGAGAAACATGTTTTTCCTCGTGTCTGGCTGAAACCTCTCGCTTCAGGTCATACCCGTTGTCTGACTCGCAGTGAGTAGTCTCCAGTTAAACTACTATAATTGGTACTATGTCACATCAAATATTTTTAGCATGTTAAGGCAATTCAAACTAAACTGTCTACAGTTGTCTAAGAAGGAGATTCCAGCTACATTTAGTAGATTTAACTGGTTTTATTACATAACTGAAAATTAACAAAATAATTAAACTTGCAGAAGAAACAGCATTCATGTGCTTAACTTGTTGAGGTTCTTTTTTAACAAAATGAAATTGAGTGATACTTTATAACCTTCCCACCATCAGGACAGTGGACATTAATTTTTTGTCAACCTGGTTTATAAAAGCTAATTGAATTTTGCTTCATAGCCTAAGAAGAGGCAGCCAACATTTACATGTTAATAATAAAATCTGAATAGGAATTATACAATTTCCAAGGCAACATTATCACATGTACTGACTTATGTAAACTATTTCAAAGATAAAAAAAATGCTTTAGTTTCACTTCTTTGCATTGCTTGTACTGACAAGAACGTTAATGCTTCTTCCAGTATTTGAGGTATATTTTTCACAATGTGCTGTAATATCAAACTGATTTTTGTTCAAAGATATTTTAGTAAAGTGCAAAATTTCGCTAAAGCCATTTGGAAGAGAAGCATTTTGTGTATGTTTTCATAGACTTGCAAGAAAATATTTCATTCTTAACAGACTTTATTTTGATTTTTTTAAAAAATATATGCACATTCATTTGTCTTTACACTGCAGAAGATTTTACAGAGAAAATTTACTTTAGAGTGATTGACATCTTTGGCTTCAAATGAAGTGAAAGGAAATTACAAAATGGTCCCCAAAACCTTTAGAATCTGTGGACAATGTGGCTTTTATGGCACCAAATGCTCTATTAGCAGAAGTGCTTGTTGAAGGCACTCTGTATTGCTTTCGAGTCCCAGGCTAATTCCCATATGGTGGTGCAGCTCCAATGTGTACGTACGTACTACATTCATTTCTCCTTGCAGTTCAGACAGACATCAAAGGCACGGCAAGAAAGGCCATATTGCTACTGCCGTTGCAATAAATTCACTTATTGAAGAAGTTTTACATTCTCCAGTTAGCTGTACTAGGGAGCAAAGTAAGAGGGTTTTTGGGTTTGTTTTGGTTTGGTTTTTTTCCCCTGAATTGTGCTATTTCACCAAAGCTAGGTGGCAGTGCAAACTTATCTAGCTGAAGAAACTTCCTGTAGTAGCAGAGCAGTGGTTTGAACCATGTTTCTATTCAGGCATTTGCCTTTCTGCTGAATGGCTTTTGAGGATGCCTGTTTGGATGGTATTTATCTGAAAACTTCACAGGAACCCAAGCTAGCTCTCCAAGTGACTTCTTTCAGGTAAAGGGTGACATAGCTAAAGACAAAATTTGGCCCAGTAAGGTTGGCATTCAGAGTCTTTTGGGTATGCGCTTCTTTGTTTTGTCATCATGTGAAGTCTTTTTATTTTTTCCAGGTCCTGGAAGAATGCAGGTACTAAATACTACTATGCTAAGTACTATAGAAAAATCTTCAAATAAATAAAAATAAATACTTGCTTTAAAAAACCCCACATAGAAATATTTCATTGGAGAAGTCCAAAATATCATGGCAGCAATATCTGAGGAAGGGATGAAATAACTAATTCTGTCATGCTTGCAAGTACCATGCTGAAGATGGCTACAAACAGTGATTTCCGATACATGACTCTTTCTACAGCTGAGAAAAGATTCTGTGCTGCATCTCCAGGCTACCCCTGGAATTCCCTGCTCTGGATCCACCTTTGACCTTCCTGGTTCGGGCTTGCCCAGGTGTCTGAGTCTCTGCAGTCTTGTGGCTGTGCCTGCAAAGCCAAAGCTTACGAGGTCCTTCAGAAGCCCAAGAAAGCTTCTGATAGCTGTCTTCTACATCCGTGCACTCTACTTATGGTCCTTCTATTGGTTTAAGCTTTACCCTTGGAAAACGCCAAAGCAAGATGAGGGGAGGATACGTTCTTCAATGTCTAATCAAAGATTATTGAAACTTGAAAGTGACTAGAATAACTCATGCTAATGTGTTTGAGATCTTATTTTCCAGGATTGGCCAAACGTTATTACTTTCTAGAAATTCTCGTCTCTGGTAAGTAATTCTTCTTTTCTTTATCTTTAGTGTTCTTTTGACTGTTTGAAATCAGATATATACGTGGCATTTCAAATATTACTGTGAGACTTCAAAACAAACTGCTTTATCATTTTCATGTTAGAAAAACAACAGTCCTCTAAAGGTGTAGTCCTCCGTACAGTTTAAGGTAATAAAGTGTATTTTGTAAGAGCAAGTGAGCTCAAGACCAGTTTTCTTGTCACCGATGTTTTTCCTGTGAATTAACCTGAATCTTAAATTCTTCATTTTAAAAGCAAACATTTATTATTTCCCATCTTAGTCCTCTTTGTTCCCAGTTGTAAAACTCCAGCTGTCTCTTCTGTTCGTGTCTTGAGAGACTGGTTTGTATTGCCTTTTGAAAAAGCCAATCTGAAATACACAATTTTGGAATTTGTTGTCAGCAAGTCTTTATTATCAAATCTAAACCATAAAAGGTGAACTAAAAATGCATATATATGGTGTTTTCTGAATGACAGTATTTGCCATTGCTTTGTCATACCAGGTAATCAAGTGCTACTTGTCAATCAAAAAAGTAGATTTGCTTGTGCTTTTACTTTTTGGGAGGCTGGTACTCTCCTGCAAGGAGTAAGGACGTGTGGGCTTGTGAACTGTAACACTCCACAGAATCTAGTATTTTTTTTAAACGTTAAATAGCAGTAAAACTTTCCTGTTAAATTTGTTTTATTTCTACACATTCCTGTTAAAAATGAAGGATGGAGACAGTCTGCATGTAGGTATAGAAGTTAAAAATCTCTTAATCGCTTGTCAGAGAAGCTGCATCCTTCATAGTTCTCTTTTTTACTTATGCACGGGATTTTTTTAGCATTTGTGTTTCTGTTTAAGATCTTAAACATTTTACTCTGGCATGAAACTATGTTGTAGACTATTAGTTGTCATGTATCAAGTGACATTAAACGTGGAGCATCATCCCACAAAAATGATCCATTTGATTATCATTAAATGCTATAAATCATTTGCAAACATGAGATGTCATATAACACATGGGAAGGGGTTTGTGGTGTTGAGTAACAGATGATGTAGAATAAGCAGAAAATAATATGAAGGAAAACGGAGAAGTATTTTGAAAAAATGCCACCAAGTTACAGTAAGAATTATATTTCTTTGGAAAGGACAGATAATAATGAAATATTATTTATCCTTTAACCTGCATTAAGACAGCAAAAGATCCACCAACAATGTGAATTCTTTACTTGAGAACAACTGAGAAATATTGAAAACTTACCTTCCATAATATAAATGAAAGAAGCAAAAACAAGGTGACGCCAACTATTAAGCCTATTCCAATAATTAGTACAGTAACACGGAATTTTGGGGTTTGGTGGTGCACTCCTTCCAAATAGACCTGGAAAGCAGAAAATAATAGTACTGGGGGTTTTTTTTGTTTAAGATACTAAAACTACAAAAAGTAATTAAATTTTTCAGTAATTAAGACTATTTTAATTGCCTGTGCATAGATGTGTATAGGATGCCACATTGTTTTTTCTAATTTAACAAGTTTATCACAAATTCATGAAACTAATTCTTACATATGCAACTTGCTTGTCCTTGTGTAGTTCAATAACTCTTGCATTTTTTTCTGGTGAGGCTGTTGCTCTTACTTCAAACTTCAATGCTGATGCATCATCCTGATTAAAAAAAAAATAATTTAAAAATCCTTTCTTTTAAAAAAAATAACTTCAACACATTAATTTCTAGCCAGCAAAAATGGTAACACAGCTGCTCACAGAAAAAGAATCTCACACAAACACACAATGGTGCCTTTTTCTGAT